TATATATAGCTTTTTATTGTGAATTTGGGAGGGTTTAAATTTCGGACAATCGATTTTGTATTTAGCAACTTAAAGTACTTATTAAACTTTCAAATAGCTTGCCCACCCCTGCCCACCCTCTCCTTGGTTTCCCTTCTCTCTCTCGTAGAAGACTGTTTCCCCTTCACACAAGTTAGCATCTGTCTATACCCTTAGCCTTTAGTGTCAACCCTGCAGCCCCAACCCCACCCATAACCACCCAAGTGTGTGTCTCTGGACATGAAAACCTTTGTCTTAGTTTTTCTTTTATAGCCGCGCCTCATGCAATATTTTTCCTTTTGTACTTAACTAACGTCACTCAGCATTAGGTTCTCCAAGTCCATTCATGCCATAAGGTGCTTCAGTCTCATCACTATTCTTTAACGATGTATTGTGTTCTATTGTGTATATGTGCCAAAGTTTATTTGTCTATTTTTCGACTGCTAAGCATTTTGTTGTTTCTGTTTTCTTACTAATGTAAACAGTGCTACAATGAATGTGTGTGTGTGTGTGTGTGTGTGTGTGTATATATATATATATATACACACACACACATATATATTTGTTCTTTGACTCTAACTTCTTTAAGTATATGTACCCACCTAGTTGTTTGAACCACACCACTTTCCACAGTGGTTGTTCATTTTTACAGTCCATAAGTAGTGCTTGATGATTCCTTTCTCTGCACATTCTCTCCAGCAGTTGTTACTTTTGTGTTTTCAAACTTTGCTGCCACTGCCAGTGTAAAGTGAACGCGTCATTGTTTGGATGAGCATCTCTTGGTGGCTAGAGCTCACGACCATTTCTTCAGATGCTTTCTGACCACAAGGCTGTCTTCTCTGGTGATCTGTCTGTTCATGTACCCGTCATGTTTTTAATTGGTTTAGTCTTCTTTTTCTTGCTTAGATGTTGTTCTTTTCTATGTATTTTCTGCATTAATCCCCTGTCCAGTATGTCATTATGAAAAATTTTTCCCAGTCTCTGGGTTCCCTTTCTACCATTTAATGAAGTCTTTTGATGCACTTAAGTATCTTTGTTTAGAAAGTCTTAGGGCAATAGTCTTTTGAGGAGTGCAGTAGTCTCTACCAATCCAGTAAATCCAGACTTTCTAAGGATTTGTGCACATTCCAGTTTTTCTTCTGTTCTAACAGGTCCTCCTTATTGTGATCCTCATCAAAACTACTGTAGAGGTAGCTGAAGACCACCTGGTTCTTCTCGTTTCAATGTAGATGAAACTGTGGCT